CCTCGAGGCGTGGGTCCCATCACGACTACCATACTTATTCGTATTATCCAACCATGCTGGGGAGACAGGTTGTTAAGACGAGTTTGTAGTATAGGACGTGGTATGTTTCATGTTGGTCGGGTTATTGTTGCGAAATCACACACGAAAGCGGTGAATTCCAGGCATTCCTGGACAATTACCATTTCGTGAGTGACCCCTCACCCCGCGCGGACTGCTCGGACCGACCTTTGACTCGATTCGGACGGGTTTCATTTTTGCATTCGCCAAAACTATACTGTATACTATACTGTATATAAACTATATTGTAGCACTCGCATTGCATCTTTAACAAATACAAACTTATGCGTATGTAACTTTCGCCGAACCCACGATTCCAAAAGACCAATATGTCTCATATTTACTTTGAATTTGGAAGTTGATTTGTTCCTAATTATTATATAATGTACAGCTCATTTTTGAAGTTACACTTTTGTTACCGAACAATCTCATCTTATCTCAATAGAGTTGGAAAGTATTCCCCATCTACCAAACAAACAAACGAGAACTCAAAACAACCAAAGTTCATATTAAGCATTTGATGCCTGTCCGTCATTTTTTGGACTTTTAAACTTAAAGAACAATATGTGTGCAGGCCATAGGAAAAGGGCGTACAGCCTACACGTTTATCCCAAGAACTATTTGAAACAAAATTTACATTGACTAACACCTCGCTTCGTTGAGTATTACTACATACCAAGTAATACTCAAGTATTACTTGGTATGTATGACTAACGTCTAATGTAAAAAGGCTTTAACGCAGCAATGTATTAGAACAATTTAATAGAGTGGAACACTGACCAGTAAAATTGTAGAAGGAGAGAATGCGGTTCGTGAGAAAAAAATAAAAAAATGGCTGCTTCCGATGCGCACGGCTAGATAGCAGGTGGTGAGCGCTCTAGCCCGCCCGCCCGTTTCGAATTTAGAATGTTATGATTTTAGGGTCCCCTGTTTAGTAAACAAAAACAACAAAGCGTGGAAATATTACATATTACTTACCAAATATAATATATTATTACGTCAGGAAATATCGAGTTCTTAGGTTTTAGCGATTGTTACACATAGGAAATGAAACTATATTTTTTCTGATCTAAATCGCATATTGTTTTTTGAAACTCTGACACAACCGTAACCGTGAGACCTGTAAAGGGCCCGAAATATTAGATTGTTTAAAAAAACAAATATACGTGATTAGAAAAGAAATAGTTTCATTTCCTAAGCCGTGCAGAAATGTTTGCACATATAAGTATGAAAATAATCACGGTTTATTTTTCCCAAGTAATGGCCAAAACTTAGAAACGAAGAATTAATTACTTCTTTTTTATTGATAATTAATAAACGGCTGTCAAAATATTAAAATAACCGAAATGCCATTTACAAGCTTTTAAATTATCATGAAACAAATACCGACGAATTTGATAACTACGTCAGGAAATGTTTGCAGGCATATATATAAATGAAAATAATTACATTTTATTTCACCTAAGTAATGGCCAATACTTAAAAACGTAGAATTATGCTTTTTATTGAAAATTAATAAACGGCTGACGAAATATTTGCCATTGCCATTATTGCCATTTACAAGCTTTTAAATTATCATGAAACAAAAAACAAAAACTTTGTAAAAAAAATGTATAGGTATGTATAAATTCAGCTTCTGGGTGATAACAATTCAAATGATTTATACATTTGGCTGTATGTATCGGTTTACTTCTACCGATGATTAAACAATTGTATACGGTAAATGTAAATAAGAATAATGTAAGAGCAACCCAAGAGTTTCTTTCTAACTCGTTCTTCTCATAGGCAATTGCGTTACGAATGAGTAGTATTTTTTAATCAAATTCTCTATTTTCTGGTTTAATTTGTTTAAATCTATTAAATAAAGATATTTTGATTTTCGAATTTGTGTGTAATGAAATGTTAAATAATTTCAAATACCTGTTATAATTTGAACAAACGCATTATACTGGACTCTACCGACTAAACAGTAGCTTTTTTCGGGAGAGGGTGAAGAAACCAGTAGCAGGTTGTCAATCGTTCATTTTTATTATTTTATTTGACTGTGTCATCCCTTACTTCAAATGACATAATTATTTTGTGATTTGTATTTATCTTTGTTACATTTTTTCGTTGCATTTTATAGAAATATTTCATCCACCATCTAAATTTGAGAAAGATTTAATTTTGTAATAAAATAAACGAAAGTACTAGGTCGGAATTCAGTTGACTTTTCTGTATTGTTCGAAAAATTCTTTCGATTTTTTTTTTAATGGCCTAATTTTTTATCTTATATGCATTGGAGCAATAACGGAGACGTCCCACCCATTATACATATACAAAATTATTGATCGTTAATTGCTACGGTAAATATGTGCATAGGCATTTTTATAGCTTCATATTGCTTAATTATACGACATTTAATATGCATTCTATTTAAATGACTCTAAAAAATGCAGCAACACTCAATCAGTCAATTTCTGAGATAGTGGAAACCGGCTTTTAAAAAAACCGGTCAAAGAAAAAAGAAAAAAGCAAAGGTTATTAAAGTGTGATCCAATTAAATTCAAACGCGTTACGAACAAAGTTTACTATCCATTGAAGCGAAAGAATCGAATTTAAAAATCGATAAATGTTGAGTCACGATTCGTATGAGTCGATTAATTCGGTAAATCGATGCACGCGAAATAAAAGTTCTGTAAATCAAAGGTCAAAACAGAATGCGGCCACCTGTGATTTCATAATTATTAGCTTAAATTAAATGTTTTATTAATTTTAAACACAAGAAACATATCATTTAAATCTGCAATATTAGCAACGATCCAAACGAATATTATAAATGCGAAAGTAAAGTCTGTCCGTCTATTACGTCACGCCCAAACCGCTGAACTAATTTTGATAAATTTAGGTATAAAACTTGACTTTTTTCTTTTTTTTTTTTTTGAAGACTTTTTGTCACAAGAATAAATCCAAAAGGGGGTGAAATAGATGAAAAGGTGGTAACCACAAAAACTAGGAAAATTAGTAAAGTACTCGAAGTACTTATTCTATGCAGACAAAGTCGCGGGTATCTGTTTCTATGATTTCGGTTTCAGAATAAATGGATTAGTTACATTCTCCCAATAGCATTCTCCTTAACTTTTTTCACTTAGTCTTGTAAATGGGGTTAGATGGCAAATAGTTCTAAGGATGAAAACAAAACTTTACTAAAATAAAAAAAAACCTTTTCACCTCACTAGCTCGGAATGGCTTTCTTTCTCATTAGAAATCTGCGCGCAAAAGAGTTTTATGCACTTGAAAATTGACAATGATATCTAATTGTGTTTACTTCACTCACTTTAATCACACAAAATAAAAGTACAAGCAAGAATAAAAATTGACGAGGTGTAAATTCAGAAAGCATCCGAAGATAATTTTTATAGTTCAACTGTTTTTCTTTCATCTACCATTTTCCTCGCTATGGGTGAGGTGAAAAGTTGTGTGTTTCGCTCGGCTGTAAAGTTGTTTTGCGTCTCGTGGCTTGAAACCCTCGCTACGCACAGGAATCTATTTTTGATCCACTCACTTCACTCGTGATTCAATCTTAGCTTGCTTCGCTTGCTGGGATTTGAATACAAGCACTCAAACAACTAAAAGACATGATTAAAGGAGGAGGTTCTCAATTTTATTCGACTGTATTTTTGTATGTATGTTACGCGACTACTCCGACATTTGTGAAGCGATTTCGATCATTCCTTTTTTGTGAAAAATGGTGTATCTCAGTAGCAGTCCCATTCACATTTGAAGAAAATATTCCACCTCTAAGGGTGGCAAATTAGTGGATGAATCCGGTTGATTGTATTTCACCCACTTTCTGTTAACCGATTTCAATAAAACTTAGCAAATAGATGTGATTCCACGACCTTTTGAGGCGGTTTTTTTTAATAAGAAAGTTATAATTCTTTATGATTTTTGAATTCATATTCGTAACTTATTTATTTGTAAAAACATATCTCGTATATAGTTAAAAAAATATGTAACAATGAAACTTCACTATGTTCGGTTAAACATTAGGCATACAAACATTTTGAATAGTAGCAGTAGAGCTCCTTATGAAAGGTTCGTCTAAGGAAGTACTGCCACCTTACTATTTCTGCCGCCTAGGTTACGTGAGCATTACTGCGTTCCGGCGTAGAAAGGTAAGGGTGCTGGTGAAATTACAGGCACATGGTCCCATAATTAACAACTGTCGTCTAAGGGTGAGGGATGCAATGGCAGTCCCCTAAGATCCGATGAATCTTATAAGTGTAAGATTTTATACATCTTCTTAGTAGAAGATGGACAAGTGTCCAACGTAACCTGATTATAGTAATCGAAGGAAAGCCTTTTTTTGACAACAAAATTAATAGGATTCTGAATTCAACTAAATAATATAAACTAAAAAATAAAAAATAACTATTTTGATCTGGGTCACTGTTCTTGAAAGCTAGCGACTTATCAGCATACGCAATCATCATGAAACAAAATGGTGAAATTACAGACACATGGGACTTGTTAACTTATGTCTCAGAGTGACGGGCGCAGTGACAATGTCCCTCACATCTTTGCGATTTGAAGCTCTGAGTGGCACTGCAACTGTTATGGACAGGCGTGTAACTTACCGCAAGGTGCACGATTTGATCGTCCCGTCATTTGATATTATAACAAGGAAAAAAACACAGTAATGATGCTTTATTTATACACGTGGAGTAAGGACGCAATGCTGCGGCGTGCTTTACTCTGAAATTTTGTTGGTTTAATTAACTCCCATGACAGCTAAGCGAAACTACCTTTTCTTTAAAATAGCTTCTTTTCCCGTAGAGGAACACAATCTAACAAAACACAGTAAACAGGACTCTGGTCTTGAGTTTATTTCTTAAGCTGTAACGTGCTGTATACAGTACTGTTCAAAACCATACAAAATTTTCAATAGCCCTACTTTGCAGGTGGAGCCCACAGGCTCAGCGTCTCTCGGAGCTGTGTCAAGAGCCCTGTTCGTGGAGAAAGTTCGTGCCTCAAACGCCGCCTGTCAGGCCGGGGACTTCGCCACAGCGGTTGCACTCTATACCGACGCCCTCACCTTGGACCCTGCTAACCACATTCTTTATAGTAACAGGTATGTATAACATACGCTTACCATAACATAACCCGGTAATAAAAACTAACGACTAAGATTTGATAACTGTTTTTTTAGTAAGGAGATCGTAATACTTACGATCTTCTACATAAAATTTTGAAAAATGAAAAAGAAAGCGATTGCCTTTTGTTTCGAATCGGCCAACGTAAATTGATTAACTTATAGCGTTCATTCGAATTGTTGTAACTTGTACAAAATTTAATTGTGTTTAAACTTATAAAAAAGTTTTTTTTTTATTTAATTCTCTTTAGCACATACTTTTCCCATTTATTTATTATTTTTGTTAGCTCGTAAGAGTATAGTAAAAAATGTAGAAGGTACAGAAATAACCATAAAGTTATGATGAACCTAATTAGGAAATCTTACACAATCACAAAAATCATAGTTCAAATAAAAGTAATACGCCAGTTTATTGGAATTCCGCCTCACGAAGGTAACAATGCAATTAACGGAAATTATAAATATTTAATCACTGTGCACGTTTCTTTCATACAAACACGTAGATAATGAATTAAAAGGCATAGAATGTGCATTATTTTCCAACTAAATCTTGAAAAAATGGTAAATGTTTCATAAACTGAGCATCACTTTTAACAGCTAATTATTCACGTTGGCCGAAGTTGTTTGTTTGTAGAAGTGCACAAGAGCATAATTTTTGCCTTATTTTATTCTTAGTATGGGAGACTTAAAACTCTTTATTGCACTCCATTATAAAATACAAAGACAAACAGAAGACAATGGACAAGGTACAACTGGCAGCCTTTTTAATTCGTTACTTATGGTACCTTTATTTCTTCTGCAACACATAGTAAATGCTGCAGACAGAAATGTTGCTTTTAGTTTCTGCTTTGGTAACTAAAGTACTTATTGTCTTTTATTATTAATATTCGTGTTGGTTGTAAGTAAAAGTTACATTTCCGCAATATGGCGGGGGTCCATTAGCTTTTTAATTTCACATCCAACCAAAACAAAGTTATACTAAAATCTTTTAAAAACTCCTTTGTTTTGCTTACTTTTCTTTTCTATAGATCGGCAGCTCGACTAAAGCAAGGTCAGTTTGCGGCAGCTCTTCAAGACGCCACTAGAGCGAGGGAACTGTGTCCCAACTGGCCTAAAGCGTATTATCGACAAGGTAAGTTAAAATTCTAGATGAGAAGCCCGCTTATTGTACAATATATTTATATTAATGTAAACTTGTGAAATAATCCATTTCATATGCATATATAACGTGAGCATGAGCCTGAAACACAGCACTATGCTGAAGCGTCATCCTTTTCATCATGAAAATGAAAAAAAAATGAAAAATGAAAAAGTTTATTTCTTTTTTCTTAGTTGTCTTAAAATAAGGTTGGGACTTCCTAGTAGGTGTCATCCACCTGTGACAGGAAGGCCCGCTCTTCCATTATCTTTTAGTTGTAGGAAACAAACTTAATCTATTAATTATATTAGGTAACACAAACAAGCAATAAAATTATTCAAAATAAATTTACTAGACATCATAGGTGATGCCAGTATACTAAAATTAACTAAATAGTCTAGATGACAAATGCACACCAGGTTAACTAATTTAATAAATGTTGAAAATGACAAATGTATACAAGAAAAAGATATAAAAATATTACAGTAACTCTCTGTGTTCTATACTTTCCCGAAAAACCTGCCTTAACTTTCAAATACAGATCAATTAATTATTCGTTATCATTACAGGCTACAAATCCCTATAGCTTAAACAAAGTATAAAATAACAACCATTATAGATTATGGAATAATAACGTAGAGAAACAAAAAATATGATTTTATATTGATATTGTGTGTAAATACATTAAGTGGGGATTATGTTCTCCGTTTCTTCAAAGTCAAGTGTCAGCAACCAATCTGTCAACGCCGCTTTACTATTGTACAAGTTCAAGTGGTAAATTTTTATTTTTTCATTAACAATATTATACAAGAGTGTAGATTTTACCTTCAATTGTCTTTTAGCGAATACAGATTTGAAAATTGGTTATGGTACCACAATATTTTTCCGTCTACGAGACACAAGCAGAGGGTTATAAGGAAGGGACCTGTGAACCTTTAGTACAGCCAGCAGAATGTATAGTTTCCTCATTGAGAGGTGACCACAAGATTGGTAAAGTTCATTAGTAGGGAATCTGTATGATTTTCAATACATCACCTTAAGGATACAACGCTGCCCTCTCTCCACTTCCAGAAACTTAGTTTTACCTACCATCAACATATTTAAATAAACAATTGTATGTAAAAAGCTGATTAAATTCAAATTTCGAGCTAACTCTATTAAATGACTGAAATGGCGTGCAAAATATTAATTTAACTGTTTCCGTGGCCGGTTGTCATGCTGACCTGACACGCAGAGGTCTCGGATTCGATTCCCGGGACGGTAGAAATATTTTTTGGCGTAGGTACATTTATTTCTTTCGTGAGTTTGGGTGTAATTTGTGATTGCCTATGTGTGTGTCCATGGTACCCGCGGTAGGAGTATTCCGAAAGGCTATGAGTGTGTTACGTTGCGTTAAAATAAGCTCCCTTTCTAGCTCATTTTTGTTTACTTTCCCGACCTCGGTGACCCAACCGTTTGCACTGTAGGTGCTGGATTAGTAGGTTCGATTCCCAGTACGACTAATTTTAGAACAGGACTTTTCTAAATTGGCTCTTGTTTGGATGTCCTCTGGTACTCATAGTACAGGAAATTCCCTAGTTCGATATCATGATACCGGTGTCGCTGTCTGGCAAACAAATATACTCGTATATATATATTCGTACAAAGTTCATTTAGTAGGTACGCAAACCCCCAAAGTTTGTTCCCTGTATATACAAACTCACCGTTGGTTATCCAAACTATCACTTAACAACCACTTTTTAAATTGAACATTCAACTAGGTCTCAAGGGAGCACACAACTCGCTTTTAATTCGTATACCTATTACAGCAATGTAAAGTCTCCTTTAAATTTTAAATTAAAGTATGAGAAACTCTAAGGCTTATCATCATGTTTTATTATGTCACATTATGATAGCAACAAGTCAAGAGTCATTGCCGCGTTTTAGACTCGACTCTTTTACATAAAATGTACGTATTCGACAAAGTAATGTACGTGTTGTATAGTTCTTGAATAAAACGTAGGTGTGCGTCACTGAGTAATAAATTCTAACCAACGATTCAACGATAATATAAAGCGGGTTTCGTGTCATTACACATTCAGTTATTCTTGCGTGCGTTCATAAGACCTTTTTATTCTCCATTATTGTCTTCAATATCACTTTCACTCGCTAGTTACGCTGTTTTACTATTACATTATACTCCATTTTTTTGTTGTGACAATCATTTTCGTAAGTTACGAAGTTTTCCTTATCTGCTTTCTGATTGTATGGGATTTTATTCTCAGGTTGTTTCTTCTGTCTTTATTCAAATTCTTTCTCATTTGTTGCTATGTATTTTAGTAATCAAAAACCTTTTTTCAACTCTTTAACAGAAAACTGAACACGAGGTTCACGCTAACAAACGTACATACATAGTCATCACGCCTGTCTCCCACTGGTGTAGGCAAAGACCATGGACCTCCACCTGCTATCATTCTCTTCATAAATGCCCGTTTATTCTTGGTACTTTGAATTCGGCGTTTTTAAGGACACATCCAATCTGATCGAGATATGTACGCCGAGATCTATCTCTCCTCACGCATGCGTTCATTATTATTATTATTTTTTAAATACAGAATACAGAAACTTAAAGTTATTAATACAGAATTATATCTCCCTTTATTGTGGAAGACTGGTGCTCAAGCTAGGTAGAAACCTGTGTTATGAGACACCAGGTCTCCCTTTGCGTAACATTATTACATGTAAATAACAAAATACATTGGTGAAGTTACAATAGATTGAAGAACAAGTAAAAAATACAATTAAACTCTAACATAAAACTACAACAAAATAAAGCAAAAACCTAAAAATAAAAATAAATATAAAAATGGAAAATTGGAGATGTGTAAGTTATTGTAGTGTGTTGTTGTGTGTGTGTGTTTATGAGTATCTGTATGTGTGATGAATAATGACTGTGTGAATATGTGAATGTGTAATGATTGTGTAAAAATTATTTATGTGTGTAAATAGTATGATCAGTACCTATGTTTCATCAACTTATCAAACTAGTCCATAAAGCAACCTTTCCGTCTCATCATAGCTAAGTGTTAGTAACCATTTAGTTATTTCCAGCTTATTTTCTCTCATAGTCCTGCCATAAATAGAAATACGTTTATTTAAAATGTTATACAGCCGATTATTAATAAAATATAAGTGCGCATTTGACCTCCATCTCACCTGATGGAAAGTGACGATGAGGTCGACGATGGAGCATGCACACCTAAATAATGCCTATTTACTCTCGCCTTGAAAAGACCCAAGGTATAACGTTCAGGGAACAAGTCTGCAGGCAGGGAATTCCACTCCATAGCCCTTCGCTATATAAATGTGGAAGCATTACGCTTCGTGCATTAATCTTTGGAATATCCACAACATAGGGGTGGAACCCAAGCCTACGCCTAGTCCTCCGGTGATGGAAAAGGGAAGGCGGAGTTAAATCATGTAATTCAATCGCACACTCTCGGTGATATATCCTATAAAATACCGATAAGCAGGCAACTTTACGGCGGTGTTCAAGGCTCTGCAGCTTCGCCTCCACTAAATCCGAGTCACCTATAAGCCTCTTGGCACGGTTGTCAATTGAATCCAAAGTGTACAGTTGGTATGTAGCAGAGCCATCCCAAAGGTGGCAGCAGTACTCCAAGCACGACCGGACTTGCGTTTGGCACAGCTGAAGCAACTGTCCTGGTGTAAATTAACGCCTCACCCTGGAAAGGATGCCAAGCTTCTTTGCTGCATTTTTGGCCATGGATTCAATGTATCTGCCGAAGTTTAAATTGGACGACAGGTCCAAGTAGCTGGAGACAGTCGGCTATCGGTATGGATATATCACGAAAAGTCGGAGTCAGCTCAAAGGGACTCCGTTTTGTGGAGAATAGACACGCCTGCGTTTTGGTAGCGTTAAATTTGACCAGATTGGCATCGCCCCAATCGGAAACTGCCTTGAGCGTCAAATCCAAACGGCTAACCATGGACTCTCGACAGGACTGTATTTCCTCTCCACTGACCCTCGCATTGGTCAAGTACCTATCTACAACTATGCTGTCATCAGGATACGCAAGAGTACCTGGAATTAACATATCATTGATATGCAGCAGAAAGAGAGTTGCAGACAGTACGGAACCCTGAGGAACTCCGGTGATCAATCGTCCCATGTTCGGAAGAGTAGCCTTCTAAGACTACGCGAATCGAACGTTCGCTCAAGAAATCCGAGATCCAATTGCAAAGGTCAGTGGGAAGCCCATAAGAGGGAAGCTTACTTAATAGGCTTGCGTGTCAGACCCTGTCAATAATATGTCTATAATTGAAAGGGTCAGCTCTGCTTCCCTTTTTTGGCACAGGTTGCACGTTTTCAAGCTTCCACAACCTGGGAAGTACACCAGTCTCAAGTGAGAGGCGGTACAGGCGTATGAGAACAGGAGACAACTCAGGTGCACAGTTACGCAGGACTATTGCTGGAATTCCATCTGGCCTGCTAGCTTTATTCACGTCAAGATTCCGCAGAGTTCTAAGTACCTCTTTTTGACGTATGCGAACTGGCGCCATAATGTAGCCAGCCTGAGGTAAGGCAGGTGGTAGGTACCCTGCGGCATCCAGACGCGAACTCTCTGCAAAGAGTGAGGCAAAAAGATTCGCCTTCTCTTTCGCAGTATGAGCTAGCGAGCCAGCCGGTCTGATGGGCGACAAAAGTTAGATTCAACCGCTTTGGCCAGGGACCAAAAGGATTTGCTGCCTGCTGGATAAGAAGCAAGCTTGCCCCTATGCGGCGCACATGGTCGACCTTGGCCCTACGTAATACGATTTTGCACTTCTTGGCGGCCTTGTTAAAAGCTTTCTTCAAATTCCGAGTACTCGGAGCTTTGTGTAGTCGAGCATCTGCCCAAACTTGGTACGCGGACTGTTTATGTGCTTCAGCACAACTACAATCAGCGTTAAACCATGGACGAGCTCGGGGTCCATTGGGTACACCAGAGTATGGTATGTAATAACTCCATACCTAAACGCAAGACCTCGACTACAGCATCAGCACAGCTCGACGAGTCTCCTGAAGTAAACCACGCCTGCCACGGATATGACGCAAAAAAATGGCGCATTTCGTCCCAATCTCCTAACTTGTATCGCCACACCCGTCTCATACCACTAGGGCCCTGATCGGGTGGCGAGTATCCTGATACAGTTTTCACCAGGCAATGGTCGGAGGTACCCAGTGGGACCTCCACAACCACAGAGTAGCGGTCTGGATCAGTTGTTAACAGAAGGTCCAAGCAATTAGCCGTATGAGACTCAACATCTGGGATCCTGGTGGCGCCACTGACAAGCTGGGAAAGGCTTAGCGTTAACGCAAGTTTACGCGTCTCTCTCCCAGCGTGATCGGTCATCTGGTATGGGAACAACCATTCTTGATGGTGAGCATTAAAGTCCCCCAGAATGAATAGTTGCGCCGCTGGGTACCTATGCTGAATCTCATCAGACGTCTCACTCAGATATTGGAACAGCTTGATTGTCTCCTGATCTCCACTGTGATCGGTAAACACAGCGGTACACTATTTGTGTAACTCCTGTATCTACCAGAAGCCACAAAACAGGTAAACTCGGTGCCTCAAGGTTCATGACACGCTTGAAACAGATGTCGTCGCGAACGTACGCACAGACTCCGGCACGAAGTATAAACCTGCGCTTCAGATTATATTATAGGGGTAGCTGAGATACGCTGCGCCAGTCGGACATCTGATCTGGCTTCAAGGTGGTGGTGGACCGAATCGAGATTTGAGTGCAGACCTCGGATATTAGTGAAGTGCACTTTCAGTGGGAGGACGTAACATCAACCCCCAATTGTTTTAATCTTTTTTTTTATAATGTCAAGTGACGGGACGAACAAGTCGTGCGCCTGATGGTATGCCTGGCTACATGCCTGTCCACAACAGTTGCAGTGCCACTCAGACCTTTAAATCGCAAAGATCTGTGGGGCACTGCCACTGCGCCCGTCACCCTGAGACATAAGTTGACAAGTCCCATGTGCATCTAATTTCACCCAGCACCCTTACCCGTCAAAACCGGAACACAGTTACTGTTTGACGGCAGAAATAGGTAATGTAGTACATATGTGGCGCTGCAGCTGCAGCTTAATAGTAAAGCAGTGGCTGCAGCGCCACAGTGGCGCTACTGCTGCGCTTCTATATCCTTCTAATTTGAAGGCGCCGCAAGCTTCGTGATATTGTGCTGTTTCCGGCAAAGTATACAATTGCATCACCGTTTTAAAAGTAAACTTTTCTACAGAGTTCCATATATATAAGTACTGCATTGTATCCTCTTCTAACATATCAAATTCTCCCCAGGAGTAGCACTACAATGCCTCGGACGACACGGGGAGGCCCTAGCCGCCTTCAGCTCCGGGCTGGGAGTAGAGCCGTCATCAAGGCAGCTCCTAGCTGCCCTCGTAGAAGCCTCCTTAAAATCCCCGTTGAGGACTACACTGGAACCCACATTCAGGCAACTGGAGGCCATGAAACTGGATCAATCGCCTTTTGTTTTGATATCGGTAAGTTTTCAATATATTCAATTATTCAACAGCCGTGGTGGCGTAACGTTTGACCTGCCGCCTCTTTAGCAGAGGTTTGTGTGTTCGAATCTGGGCTTGCACCTGTGTATTTTTCGGAATTTACATGCAAAATTTAATTTGAAACTTACCTTAACTTATGAGCTTTTCGGTGAAGGAAAACATTGTGAGGAAGTCTGCACACATCTGCAAAGCAATGTAATGACATGACTGAAGTTCCCAATTTGGAATTTTGGAATCCGCCCGCGTGGGACCTAGTATACCGTAACTATTATTATTATATCTATTTAGACTCTCCCAAGGCCTAAAAGATTAATTCTGAATTTTTAAATAGGACAGGCAGTATTCCCCAGCAATGGCACAGTCGGCCGGGGTCAGGCACTCAGATTTAAGAACCGGCGAACAATTATTATATACATGATACATGCGATTAGTCGACTGCACTAGGCATGTCTACGAGAGAGTATTACAAAACTGTATTTTGATTTTAATTAAGTTAAAGTTTTAACTTGAATTTATAACAGGGCGTAATTATTTTAAAACAGTCGTGAAAAACTGGAAAATTTTTCGAAATGGCGCTTTGTCAAAGTCAAAGTCAAATAATCATTTATTTCATAGGTAAAATTTTTGCACTTGATAACGTCATTTTTTAAGTTACTGCTCGTTCACTACCTCTGAGAAAAACAACCAAGAAAATCAAAGAAAGGATTGCTCTTTTCAGATAAACTTAAATGCTATAGAATACATTTTGATTCATAATTGTGTGAAATCTAGACTCTTGTTGTCTTTCCAGACATCTTTATCTAAAACATACTCTTCAATTTTGTAATATGACTTTTCAATTAAAATACTTTTAATGTAAGTTTTAAATTTAGGAAATGATAATCTTAATATATTCTCCGGAATCGTATTGTAACAAAGATCCCCATAAAAGAATCGTTTACCTTAGTTAAACGAAATCGTGGTACCCTGAGTTTGGACTTAGTTCCAAGGTTAATTTATGGATACCTTCTTTCTTATGGATGTTATGTATATTTTTACGGGTATACAAAATATTTCAGTAAATATACTGTGATGCCACAGTCATGATACCAGTCGCCTTAATGATTTCTCTGAGAGAAACCCGAGAACCTAAACGGTACACTGAACGAATCGCTCGTTTTTGCAACACGAATATGGTTTGTATGTCTGCCGCTTTACCCCACATGAGAATCCCGTAGGACATTATACTATGGAAGTAACTAAAGTAAACTAGTCTACCAGTAGCACTCGGCATCGGTAAGCTCACGTATTCTACGGACTGAGTATGCAGCAGAGCTTAATCTAGTGGCTTAGGAAGATATATGTCGAAAACATTGAAGTTTACTATCTAAGATTATAATTGTTTTTATATCTAGTAAGATTACATAAGATTACAGATGTATTTGACTAATTTATGTTATTATTGACTTTCATTCATTTTTGACATGCACATATTTTATGGAGGCTTAGAAATGTAAATTATGTAAGTTTGACATTAACATGATTTTTCGCTTTATTTTTGACATTGTTAATTTTTACTAATTTTTATTATATTTTTTCTTTGCATTTTTATTAGTTTTTGACAGTTTTTAATTATAATATTTTGTACATTATGCGACCACCACTAATTATATTTGTATGTTTCAACGAAACTGGTTGTAGTAGCACTGTTAATGTATTGAACTGATCTAATGAACTTATTGTACCTACTTCCACAAATAAATCGATCTTTATCTTTATCTTTATCTTTAAGGTCACTCACAAAAAGACAGCTTTATTAAGAAGGTCTAACTTTTTCCTTTTATTTCTATGATTGGACAAGTCAAATTCACATTAGGTAATTCAAATTTAACACACTTTGTCTTGGCATTGAGCAATAAATTGCTGACATTAAACCAATAAACTACCTTTGAGAGGGTGTCGTTAATATTGTCATAGTTAACGTATGTCTGTCTGTTTTAAAAATCAATGAAGTGTCGTCAGCGAACAATGCTATTTCGCAAAGGTATTAACAAAGAATGATAGATCATTAATATAAATGAGAAATAAGAATGGTCCAAGATTGAGCCCTGCGGAACACCCATTTTTACCAGAGAACCGAAAACTTGGCGAAAGCTTTCTACAATACACCTACGATACATATATGCAACAAAATGGTAAACGTTTACAAAGCCACTCAAAAGGGAATTCTATGTGTGACACAGTTAAATATTTTCTACGTTTCACCATGTTGTATCTACTTAACTTAAAAAATCCTTTTGACTCAACTTAAGCCTGTTCATAAAATTTTAAACAATCGCAATACTCAACGTAGCCATGTGGCTATATGATACATACAGTGTATACATAAACACATACATACACTGTATGTGTCGTAATTGTACATCGTCTGCAAAACGTTGCTCAGCTGTGTCACCGTGACAGCTAAATTATTGTTTTACCAATCCTTTTTATTTGCAAACCCTTTCAGTATTCACTTTGGTTACAACTGACAGACCATTTTCGAGATGCCTTTGTTGGCATTTCTTTTAACGGTTCTTTGGACAGACATTCGCAGATGTGTCAGGTATTTCTTCACGTATTTTACATTGCAAACACGTTTAGGTATTTTATCTAAGTTAAACTGTATGTATACCCTAAAATATTAACAATTATTAATTATCTGTCTTGGACAAAGAGTACTATTGCATTTGATTAATTTATTTATATAATAACAGCCAATGGTAGATACACTAAATCTAGGGAATAATGAAGACTTAAAAATACGTTTAATTCTAAATGCACTACCTGTAGGTGCCACAAAACGCAAAGAACACAAAAAGAAAATTTAAGCAGTAACGGTTGGTAAAACAAAAAACATATTTTAATTAATATTAAGTAAAGAAAAATAAATATTATGTGTTACGCCCAAATGGATTCCTTCGTATTTTAGATTTGATAATTTAATAATTATGACTTGTTATTAATATTATAACTTTTTTATTAAGAAAACCGACCTCTATATTTTGTGGCATTATATCTATTTGCCAAGTTTTATTAAAATCGTAAAGTGCGCGAAAACGGATCATCCCCTAGTTTACTTACTGTGGCGTCCTGTACGCCTTTGTATTCTTACTTGTACGAGGTACTTTAACGTAATTGAAACAACTTATTTCTTTGTGCCTCACACGACACGCACGCTCGCTCCCGCTGTCCAAGGAGTAATGCGAGAGGGCGCCTTGGACGACTATATTTTATTTCATAACTGTCACATCTCTCTTTTGTTAACAAAACAAAATCGTAAACTTGCATTAACCAATAAAAATCGTAAACTTGAATTACCAAAACAAAATCACAACTAGCATTAACAAAACAAAATTACATTGATTCCTGCGAATTCGCATCCGGTTCCACATCATTTTTTTCTTTGTTGTATGTCTTCCAATTTCCTTCAACCCTCTTTAAATATACAATATTTCGTCGGTATTCTTGTCCTGTAACATCATATTTTACGTTAATTTCAGCACCATGTGAACTGGTCACAGTATGAGGGCAGTCCCTCTCATTATAGTCAACGGCTAATTTGTTTGCTTTAGTCATATTTTTTACATAAACTTTTCCTCCTATTTCAAAATCACTCTCTTTGGCTTTC